CAGAGAGGAAACATTCAAGTTCTTCACTGAGGCTCAAACAACTTAAAACGCAAACAGTGCGGACATTTACCTGGAGGGGGCTGGAATTTTCATTTCTGAGCAAAGGAAACCAGGTCTATATAAATGAAGTGGCACCATGCAACTTGTGCTCCTGTGCCCTGGCTCTGGTACACAGCCCTGTTGGACTAAGGCATAGAAATCTCATAGCAAAAAGGTTTTCTGAGGAGCAGAGCCCTGGTGAAGCACAGCTCTTCACAAGCCTGGGCTGCTACATAGCCAGAGGAAGGTGGCCACCTCTCCACCTGCCTAGTATAACCATATGGTGGGCTCAGACACACCTCTATGTCTCTACATCCTAATAGTGTATTCACAAGTCCCCCACCAGCTTCCCCAGTGTTCTGGGGGCTCAGATCACATCCTATGACAACAAGAGTAGGATAAAGAACAGCCTGGGCTCACACCTGAACCTCAGGCTCCCCGGACCAAGGCACCAGTGCATTCCTGTTAAGGGAGAACAGCAGCCCAAGCGTGTGCACTTGGAAGGGATCTGGGGATTGCCTGGCTGCTACGAACCCTATGGTCCACGTGGTATGGGAAGGGAAAACAGAATTAAGGTCAAATGCACTAGGTCAACAGAATTTAGTTACTTCAGCTGGGAAAGGTGATTTAAACCAATCCATCCTTGGAGCTTTGCCTCAGCCGGTTCCAGGGAACCCCAGCTGGTTTCACCAAGGTGAACAAAGCCTACGTAATCCTGTTGTGCCCATTAAATAACATACACAAGAGCTTCTCTAAGACCTGTCAGAGGTCAGGACAGAGGCATGCCCTTGTGACAGAGCGGCTTGAACAAGTGTCCACAGAGCAACTGGTTTAGAAACCTTTGTCCTGCACTGGACCATACACATTTACCAAATCCAGAGTCACTACAGCAGAGTGGATATTGCCATGTCAATTGCAAAAGGAAACAAACAAAAAAAGAGCCATATTGCCCCTTTTTTTTTTTTAACAGAAGGGACAAGACCTGCCTGCTTAAAAATAAAGACCTCTGCACCACCTTCCACCTGCTAACCGAACTCCAGGTTAAGCTGTGGGTACTCTGACTAATTTGAGAGATCCTATAACTCCCTGCTATTCTTGGCCACCCCAGGAGGTGTCTCAACGCTTGGCACAGCACTGAAAGAACAAGTCACCTGGGTGCAAAAGAAGCACAAGCAACAAAGCTGTGCCGCTGCACCACTTCAGTCCAGGGCAGAGGGCTGCAAATAGCACACAGAGCTGCCCCGAAATCCATTTGCACTGGAACATCAAGTATCTCTAGTGCTTCTCAAGACCGACCGCCACGCTTGGGATTTTGTTTCTTCTTACAGAGAGCCGGAGCTGTCCCGGAGGAGGGCAGCAGAGTCCCAGCATCCGTGCTGAGCCAGCCTCTAATGCGCTCGCCTGCTTCAAGTTGCTCACAGAAGCTGGTGGAGACGGAAGAGTTTGGGAAGGCCTCCCATGGGGAAGGGTGTGGAGATGACAGCAGTGCTGGCTGCCCTCTCGCAGAGGCAGCGTCACCAAGCATTGCTTCATGAAACTGCCTTGTAACCCGCGCGTGCTCAGCACAGAGCGGCCAGAAAGCAGGCTGTGCTTGGGGAGGGAACTGTTCCCCCTCCAAACACATGTAAGAAAATTAATGATTCTCTGCTGAATGGGCAGAGCATCCTGCTCAGAGAGAAACCAAACCCTCCTCAAGATAGCCTCTCCCTCTGCTCAGACCCGCTAGGCTCGGGCTAGTTCCTCTCTTCTTCCTCCTCCACCACCAGGCAAGGGGACACGGAGGGCTGGCAGCCAGGCTGGCATTAGTCATGGTTCCTCCTCATAGTTTCTCCTCCACCCTGCGAGTCCCACTTCCTGCCATCGGAAAAGGGCAGAGGAAGCAGCACAATCCTGAGGTCTGGTACAGCTGTCGCCCAGGGAGGGACTGGAAACACCCAGTCATGAGTACAAGTGTGCATGAATCATCCAGAAAACTAGGGAATGGGGCAGCAATCCTCCATGGAATACAGGCTGCTGTGGCCAGGAAGCTGAGCTCAAGGAAACCAGGGACTGAGCCACCGGTTGGGGTGGACATGGCATAACATCAGCCCCAAGGACGCAGCAAGGCGGACCATGGGGCCTCATGCTGATTTCCACAGAAGCAATCCTGCCTCAGGTAAGCACACGGCCTGCAGCCCACCTCACCAGTTATTTGCCTTCGAGGCATCAGTCCTCACTAACCAGAGAGCACCAGGAATCCACATTGTTTCCTGATGAGCTCCCATTCCCAGCCCTTCTCACACCCTTGCTGGGCCCAGGACACACAGATGAGCCTCAGGGAAATGTCAACAGAGAAGCAAAAGTGAATAATGTTGGTACTTTTCAAAACCCTGCTCTCAAGGAGGACGTGACACACACTTTCCACCCCACTAACCTCATAAGCGATAAGATATGTATCTGCTCTCACATCCTTCATGATCCAAGACCTACCCCCGCAGTCTCAGAGCGATGCTGCAGTTACACAGCCCCACCGGGCGCCGTGCTGGCCTCAGGGATGCGAGGGAAGGTACAGGACTGACTGGCAACAGCAGCCTTGCAGCAGCTTGCCAAAAAAGCAGTGCCACCCAAGGCTGTGGTTTGCACTAACCCTGCTCGCAAACACATGACGTGGGTCAGCATTTAAGCTGGTGCAGGCGTGGGGGACAGTGGGTGGATTTTTGCGGGTTCTAGATAGCAGCTACAATTAAGACATTATTATTATAGCAATTAACTCTGGTTTCCTGTGGTAATGACACAACTACACAGACAGAGGTAGTTTTGTCCCCCCACTATACCTCAATCTTTTTAAACCGAGATTTCTTTGCTTGAGTCAGGAGCAGTCTTGTGCAGTTAATTGTTGATGTATTGATAGACACTCAAAGGTCAATGGTAGAAGGCAGCTTTCCTAACAGGGCCAGCAGTTCACCACCAGCATGTCAGAGCCATACAAGCCTGCTTTCCAGGCAAGGACTTACACAGGAAGGGAGGACAGGACACGACTCAAAGTAGCACCAAAAGGTGGCCTAATGCAAGTGAAAGAGGTCCTTACCAATTCTCCGGCCAGGCCACAAAAACGTGTGTTTGGCGGGTATGTCAGGACTCGATATTCTCTGAAGAGGCAGACAGGAGCCCTCCAGTGCTCAAGTTACACCCTGCTGAGTTCAGACACATTTAAACCAGGGTTTCTCCTTGTGTCAGTGCCCCGAGTCAGCTTGGTCACCCACCACATGCTTGCTCGTCACCACCAAGGGGAAGCAGAGTGGGACAGGGCTATGGGCTGGTTCAAGCCTCCTCACCCACCAGGAAAGCTGCCTCCCTGCCAGTCCTCTGCCTGAACACAGCAGCCAGGCACAGTGCATCTGTAAGAAACATCCTGCTCCTCTCTACTACAGGAAGCTTTGGGTACATGCCAGAGCTGCTGTGTAATTTGTCCCCAGAGCTCTGCCAGTGACACTCCTTCATTCCAACCCATGTGCCACTCGAGCTTGCGTTTGCTTGACCATCGTTTTGCATCTGGCAAGAAGCTACAACAGCACCAGCTGCCACACGCTGCCTGCCAAGGGCTGGCAACACGGGCAGCCTGTGCTGGCTGATGGGCGGCTGTGCAGGGTGCTGCGCTCCAAACAGGTGGCTGCAGAAGAGGAGCTGCTCTGCCACTTGTGCCGCACCACTGGTGCCAGGATATCACGGCATCTTTCCAGAGCCTTTGGGGATAAAGGCACTTCTCTTTCACAGGAGAGAGCCCCTACAGTGAGCCCAGAGGCTGTCCCCAGCTCTTCAACAGGGGTGAAGGGTGGCCCCAAGGGCATGCAGAGAGGCAGAGGGCTCCTCCAGCCCACACAGTGATTTGGCAATCGTAGTCTAACCTGGGGCCAAGGGCATGGTGTTCTTCCTGCTCCGCTGGATTCTTTGCTACCCCTGGTTCACCTCTGACCAGGCACATCTCCTTCCCTGCCCAGAGGGGCTGCCAGCTTAGGGCTTTGCTGGTGTGAACTGACAGGCTCTCACTTCCCAGATTTGCTTGTCTTACCCCTTCTCTATGGGCCAGGCTCTGTAACCCAACAGTTTTTGGACTCTCTTCTACTGCTGCCCTCTCGCAGCAAAAGAAATCCAAGAAAACCCATGGGGAACAAAAGTAGGAAGACATGGTGTGACATGCCAGAACAGAGAGACGGTGCAGCAGCTCTGCGAGCTGCCCGTCACCCCTCTCATCCCAGCCAGCCACGGGCCCTGGCTGCTCGTCCTCCCTCCCAGTCACTACCAAAGGTCCTGGCACTTCCAAGATGAAAAACTTGTGTCCTAAGCTGTGGAGAGCTCTGCACCTCATCTCCACAACCAAGCTCCCACCCTGCAAGACACACGGTGAGAGCACAGCCCCTGCAGAAACAAGGGAGCCCAGCTGCTCGGAGCCCACAGCAGCCATCTCCTGGGGCGGGAGGAAGCAGGACTGCAGCACAGCCCCCAACTGCTGCAGGACACAAGCAGCGCTGGCTCTCCTGCTGCCTACAGGGCTGTCATTTAATTCAGAAAGCCAGCGTGACATATGCTTCTGAGACAGCAATCAAAGCCTGGGAGGAGGAGATGATGCAACAGGAGGTTTTGATATCCGGGCTCCCCCTTCCTGCT